CTTAATTTTGGCCCATAGGCTTCTTAAATTATATTCTTTGTTACTTTTTTCTTGCCATTCTGTTCACCATCCTCTATATTGGCGGTTTGATCCTCTTCTTTATCCACTGTGTTTACTCCCTCTAATATACTCTTAATCTTAGATAATGTGTTCTTCATTTTTGACTGGTTCCCTTTTATAATTTCCAATTCCATTTTTATGTTTTTTAATCTCTTAAAGTTCTCACTGAATTCATCTACACTTCCCATAAGTTCATTGAACATCCTTATAACCAGTGTTTTGAACTCTGCATCTGTTAGATTGCTTGACTCCATTATTCCTGGATCTCTGTTCTGTTTTCTTGTATGGTTTCTTTGTCTTCCCATTTTGGCTGCCTTTCTCTGTCTGTTTCTGTGTATTAAGCAAATCTTCTAAGTCTCCTGGTCATATTAGCGCAGCTTTGTGTAGTAGGTGTCCAGTGGCACAATCCTGAGAAGGGTTTAGCCTCTGCCCCTCTGGGTCCACCTGTTGAGATTCAGCAAGCACCCCCAGATTCTGTGCTTATAGTTGTGTCAAGAGGCCACACCAGAAACCGAGGCCAGCTGCCACCAGTGTGTCTTGACACTGCTAAACAAGGGGCACCTGACTTGCCGAGGACACATCTGGATGTGGCTTGGGTGAGGCCGTGAGTTTGGGGTGGCGGAGTTTCAGGGAATCCTCTGGGCAGGACAACCTCTGTTATCCAGTTCGATGAGGTCTCTGCCATGGCAGCGCTGAGTCTGTGTACTGTGAGAGGGGAGTTCAACAGAGGAACTATGGATACCACCCACACTCCTATACAGAGAGAATCTTGCCTCCGGCCCTCATTCTAACAACTCATTGTTACTCCATAAATCCCTATTACACCCTGAGCTGGTGACCTTGCTCTGGTGCTCAGAGTGAGCAAGTCCATTGCTGTGAAAGTACGCTCATGGAAACGACTGCTTTAAGAGGTATCTGCCGTTGCTGTAGCCTCTGTTCCACTCAGCTGCTTGGGACCAGGCAGCCTAACATCTCTGCCCCCTCCTACCTTCTACCATGCAGATTGATGTTTTTTTTTCCCTCCCTAGTTGTGGGGCTTCTGTTCATCTAGATCTCAGGCGACTCCGCTTGCTTTTGCTCCATATTTCTGTCACACCTTTGATGTGATTGCAAGAGGGAATGAACAAAGCTTCTGTCATTTACACCATTTTTGCCCTCGATTTCTGAAACTTTTTAAGGTGATCATTGTACAATAAAAGCTAATAGTTTTGAAGAATTAGAAGGCTTATGGTCAATATGGCAGAATAGGTAAATGCTGTGCTGGCCTCCTCCCAGGAACACATCAAATTTACAACTAAACTACAAAATAACAATCACTGCTGGGAGTCACCTGAAATCTAGCTGAACATAAGTCCTATAATTAAGAATATACAGAATAAGTCACCTTGATACTGGTAGAGAGGCCAGAGATGTGGAATTGGGCAGGTCCCATGCTGGCATGTGGTGTTTAAAATTTAGGAAGGGTGTCTTGGCTTCATAGGTCCCCCCTGAGGAGTTAGGGGTCCCAGCCCAACAACAGGCTCTCCAGCTCAAGGTTCCAGTGTGGGGAAGAGAAGTCCCCATGACTTCTACCTGTGAGGCAAAGATTGTTGCTGAATGAGATGGAGGGCTGCTGGACCCCAGGTGTTCCTCTTAGGGCCTGCATATGGACTTACTTGCTGACGGACTCAATTATGTTGAGTTCCAGCACTGGAACAGCAGCTTGAAAGGCACCAGGGACAAATAGGGAGAAAATGAATTGTCTGGCTTTGAGACAAAGGCTGCATGGGCACCTTTCTCTCAGAAGTGCTGGCAGAAGCCATTGTTCCTTTGTTGAGCCCTCCCATTATCCAGGTGCAGATGCAGGTGGGCACCATATCTGATTCTCTATCAACTTGGCAAACTCTGTTAGTCCTACCCTGGTGATTCCCTGAGTCCCCGCCCCACTCAGCTTGTGGATCCACCCGAGCTGCTTCCAGTGGCTTTTCTATACAAACAGCCTATCTTGGCTCATGCTGAGAACTTTCCTAAAATCTCTCAAAGGTTCACAAATCCCAAATAAGCAACATCTGGCTACAGCATGCCCTGTACCTCTTGCTAAGTAGCCCCGAGCCTGTCACTAGCAGCAGCCGGCCTGTTTGTAGCTGAGCCTTTTCCAGGCACCTCCAGGCCCAGCACAAGTGGCTACCATCTGCATATCACCTTATAGTTTATACCAGGTGGCCCTGGGAAGGGCACAGGCAGCAGCTGACCTTGGCCAGCAACAATGCTCCTCTTAAGAGAGATTTCAGAACCAATACACTCTATGATCAGCTTCAGACCACACTGGAGCACCACTAGACCACCTCCACAAACAGCACATACAAAGGGCAGACAGGGCAGGCACCAGATCCCTGCTAAAGCGAATCCTGCTCTGTAGGGTCAGCCCCTGCACAACAGCTCCTTCACTGTAGTCATGGCCAGTCCTCACAACCAATTAGCCTGAGGGTGAATACCTCCCATTGACTTGCAAACAGCAACCAAGGCTCAACTACAACAGAAAGGTACACACATCCCATAAAAGTGACACCTGGAGTACCCTACTGAGGTGACCAGGGAAACTGCCACTGGGCTCCACAGGACACCTACTACATAAAGCCACTCTACTAAGATTAGGAGATATAGGAGCCCTACCTAATACATAGAAACAAACACAGAGAAGCAATCAAAAGGAAGAAGCAAACATTTATCAAATAAAAGAAAACTTTTATTTGTATATACCTTTATTTGTAAAAATTTTTATTTGTATATACCTTTATTTGTAAAAACTTTTATTTGTATATACTTTTATTTGTAAAACTTTTATTTGTAAAAACTTTTATTTATGTATACACACACACACACACACACACACACAGTGTCAGGTGGATGGATACTAGACTAATCAGGGAGATTACTTTTAAATTATATAAATATCTAACCACTAAGCTCTTCACCTGAGACTAATTTAAATTAATACTGAATGTCAATTGTAATTGAAAAATAAAAATAATAAAGATATACACTAAAAAACCCACTGAATTTCTGGAATATCAGGACTTCAGCATTTATAGTAGCACTTTTATTTTAATGCATTTGTATTTGAATGTAGTAGGCATCTATAAAATGTGGAGTTTAAAACTACACTATTTTAGAACTATAAATCAGTTTTTAGTATTTGGAGAGAAGTACATTCTCTTCATGATAGAAAAGCAGTTATTTTTATAAATAATGCTCACTCAAGTATTGATTCCAACATAAAAAAACTTGGAATTTTATGAGGAGGAACGTTTTAAATCTTTTAAACTGTTTTAATCTACTGTTGTATGGAAAAAATAGAATAATAAATGGACTTACTAATTTAACCTTGATTGATGATATTTAATTTTTTCACAGGGATTCACAAACTGGACTAAGCGAGATTTTAACCAGTTTGTTAAAGCTAATGAAAAATATGGAAGAGACGACATTGATAATATAGCTCGAGAGGTGGAAGGCAAATCCCCTGAGGAGGTCATAGAGTATTCAGGTTCGTATATAACTTCAAACATGGTTTTAATTGTAACCTTATTCATTTCTTTAGTGTCAATTTAATTCAGAGATCTTTTAAATTTTTATGAATAAAGTGTGAAAGTATAAAATATAATCGTATTTCTATGAAAAGATTATAAGATTTATCAAAACAAAGTGACTGCTACTGTCTCTATCATTTAGCTGATGGAGCCATGTAAAGCCCTGATGAAACAAGGGTGGTTCTTGGATGAACATTTTATGATTTCAGGTCTTAATGCTCAAGTCTAATTCATTTTGAGACAGTTTTTGTGTATAGTATAAAATAAGTTTTCCACTTTCCCACCTCTAGAATTTGGTACTCTACTGGGCAAGTCAAGTCTGAGATTTCTAGTTCAGTGGATTGTATTATTGTCTTTATAGGTCATCCTTGAAGTACAGAATTCCTAACAGGCCCTTTTAGATCTTCAGAAACCCTCGTCGTGCCTTTCAACTCCAAGCAGGTCATATGGATCCCATTAACTCTAGGCAACCTGGAGTAGATCTAAAAAGACTGCTTGAATAAATCTGTTAGTAGATGCTAGAATCATCTCCCTCTCTTACTCAGCTGTGTATTTGGTTTTGACCAGAACTAGATTAGCTGCTGAAGCATCTGGAGATAATATAATTCCCATGTCACAGCATATCCAACCTAGAACAAGAAGTTTAAAACTTTCAAATAGGTGAGCTCTCAAATTTAGTCTGAATATTGGCTGTTTAGAATTCATTTTTCCCCACAGAAGCAATATTACAAAGTAGCGTTAGGTTTTTATGCTTACCCCTCAAAGCCTATTTAGTTTAACAACTCAAATTCTATTTTTTGCCATGAAAAATAGTAGGAAGAAAACATTACAATACTAATAAATATACCAAAGATTAATACAGGTTAGGAACAGCTCTTAAATTATCTGTAGTGCTAGTGCCTGAAAAAATCCAGGTTTAATTAGAGAATAGATACTTCTTTTTTCTTTGGAAATATGAAAGAGTCTACTATTGATTACCAGGGACGTTAGAGGCTGAATATATTGAGTTTTTATTCTGTGTAATATAAATCAAGTTTATGAACTTCCTTTTCCTTGATGCCAGCGTAACATTACTATTAATCTTAATTAAGCTTTATCACATAAGCTTAGGGCATTTGGGGGCTTAGAGAGTGGAAAAATAGATGAGAGAGAGAAAATTTTTTTTGCAGCAAGATTTCAATGAAGAGTACAAAAGGATATGTGCAGAGATTTTCTGAAGTAGAATTTTCTTCAAAATAGCATGAGTGTATGTGGAGTGGCAAGAAACAAGTGATTCAGAAAGATATGTCAGATGTCCCCTCAAATTCGATACCAGGTTTGGTGGAATGACTAGCTCAGGACAGCTTAATTGGGATTCTGTCAGAGAGTGAGGATATTGGAATGGGTTTATGTAGTTGGTTGCAATAAAAGAAGAAATGTGTGCAATTGGCTATTCATGAGTATCTTTTACATAGCAGGCATTTAAATTTGTATTGAATGAATAACTGAGAGAATAAATAGATGAACACAGGTGCTTATAAAAACCAGAGTGCTAACATTCCTTTTTTGATAGCCTCTAAAAATGAAAATTTTGAGAATGCAAAGTGTGTCATTAAAAGGCCTTTCACTGAAGTCATAAGATGTGACATATTAATGCAGCCAGATTATTTAGCTCACTTATAAAATTTAGGTGACTTGGTGTTTTGTTTTTAGAGAAAAGGCTATTCCAAGTTTTAAAAACAAGCCACTGGTCATTGAAAATATTGTAAGATCAGTGAATAGTTTTAAAGCTGAAGCAACAGTTCCAGTAGAAATTGCTGCTTCATAGGAAGTTTGAATAATCTGTTAATGATGATTTTGTTTTTGTTTATGCTTGCTTAGGAAGCTAAGTTCTCTAAGTTTATATGGTCACCTCTCTCCTGTTTCATTTTATGTATTCGGTTCCTTCTATATCATGTTTGAATAAAAGCATGAAAGGAGAAAGGATTAAGAAGTACAAATTGGTAGTTTCAAAATAGTCGTGGGGATGTAGAGTACAGCATAAGGAATATAGTCAGTAGTACTCTAATAACTATGGGTACTAGATTTATTGGGGTAATCACTTTGTAAGTTATATAAATGCCTAATCACTATGTTGTACACCCAATACTAATAATATAATATTGTATGCCAACCGTATTTGAAAAATAAAAAAAATTTTAAAAGCATAACAAATCAATATCTGTAGTATCTTTTGAAATCCTAGTCATTTGAGATGGATGATTAAAAATGCCATAATATTTCAGAATGGAAACTCACTAACCTAGAACTTTCTTGTTGAGATCTTTTAATTGAAAAGTTAGGGATATTTAGTAATTGAACATATTACATATGAATCTGAATCTTGATTTTAAACAGTATAATTTTACTGTATTGTCTCTTGTTAATTCTTTATTCTACGGTTCCTTGGATTCATTTGCTTAAGATGATAATATTGTAAAGTAATAACTGTTTTTCAGCTGTATTTTGGGAACGTTGCAGTGAATTACAGGATATTGAGAAAATTATGGCTCAAATTGAACGAGGAGAAGCAAGAATCCAGCGAAGGATCAGTATCAAGAAAGCCCTGGATGCCAAGGTACTATATTTCATAATTGTCAAAATGTTATTAGATTGTTTTAATTAGTATGGTAATTAGCTTTTATTTATTACTGCACATTTAGTTAAAAGCACTGTTTTGTTTAAATCCACAGATTGCAAGATACAAGGCTCCATTTCATCAGTTACGTATTCAGTATGGAACCAGCAAAGGAAAGAACTATACTGAGGAAGAAGATAGATTCTTGATTTGTATGTTACACAAAATGGGCTTTGATAGAGAAAACGTGTATGAAGAATTAAGACAGTGTGTACGGAATGCTCCTCAGTTTAGATTTGACTGGTTTATCAAGTCTAGAACTGCCATGGTATGTATTACTTTCTAACTTATTTCTTCCAACTTTTTGTTTAAAGAATTTCAAATATTATATATCCTTCACTTAGATTCTCTAATTGTTAACATTTTGCCATATTGGCTTTGTCCCCCCAGCTGTGTATGTGTACATATACTTATATATACATAGAATCTATATATACACGTACAAAATTTCTAGTTGTCCCCAAAGTATCTTTCATAGCTGTTTTTTAAACTTGATCCAGTCAAGGTTCACATATTATATTTGGCTGTTGAGTCTCTATTTTAGTCTCTTTCAATCTACATTTCTTTTTAAAGACAATGATTTTTTAAAATTTTTTTCTTTTCTTTTTTTTGTTTTAATTAAATTTATTGGAGTAACATTAGTTAATACAATTATATAATTTTCAGATGTACATTATAATTTGACATCTATATATTCTATTGTATGTTTACCACCCAAAGTACAGTTTCCTTCAGCTACCATATATTTGACTCCCTTACACCATCTGCCTCCCCCTCATCTCCCACCCCCTACCCTCTGGTAATCACTAGTTCATTGTCCATGTGCATGAGTCTCTATTTGTTTGTCCTGTTCATTTTTTGGTTTTAAGTTTATATCCCACATATAAGTGATATCATGTGATTTTCAACTTTATCTGGCTTATTTCGCTTAGCATGATTATCTCGAGATCCATTCATGTTGTCGCAAATGGCAGTATTTCATCTCTTCTTATGGCTGAGTAATATTCCATTGTATATATGTACCACAGCTTCTATAGCCAACCCAATCATCTATCGTAGAACACTTCGGTTGCTTCCATGTCCTGGCCACTGTGGATAATGCTGCTATGAACATCAGTGTGCAAATATCTTTTTGGTTATGGGGTTTCAAGTCTCTGGGGTAAATACGCAGTAGAGGGATTGCTGGATCATATGCTAGATCAATTCTTAGTTTTTTGAGGAACCTCCATACTGTTTTCCATAGTAGCT